CCATCAGAATTTGCAAGGTGACAGCGTAGTCCCCTACTACGTGTGAATTGGGGAGGAGGCATTGGCAGGCATGAGTTTTCTGTCAACACTCTCTGGGTGATTCTCCTGGGGTTCCCTCATGCCCTGCATCCATCAGCACTGGTGGTCCATGATGGTTTCTCTTGGGTGCTTCTGGCTCACCATCCTTAGAGTGGAAGGATTTTTGTGTCAGAATCCAGGTCCCCTTCCAGACATAGGGCCCGTGTTGCTGCAGCACCTGCACACTAAGGGTACAGAATTCAAAACCCTCAGTGGATTTCTGACTCCTCGTGAGCCTATAAGACAGAGCACAACTGCCCGTGTGTGTGCGTTTCTGAGGCTGGAAATCTTCACAGGACTACAAAGCCTCATCTTTCTCCCGGCAGAGCAGCTGGTGGTTTTGAACTGCTGACCTTGCAGTTAATAGCCCACTGAGTAACCCACTACCACGGGGACTTCCTCAAGGATACAACGGTCACTCATTTGTCAAGCCTCGGAGCACTGGGAGACAAGGTCCCCATGGGTGGGATGCTACCTTAAACCATCCGTTCTTTCCTTCAAGCTGGACCACATCTAAAGGCAATATCTGGGTGAAGTCTAACTTGCTTCCCACAGGGCAAAGTGGCTCCCATCATGGACAGGCAGGTGGGGCCGCCTGGTTCTCAGCTCAGGGACCTCGGTCTTCCCTTCTGGAAAAGTGCAGGCCGGCCATGCCAGAAGGGCTTGGGGCTCCTTTCAGTCTTAAAACACACAACCCCCCTGCCATGACGTAGATTCTGCTTCGTAGAGATCCTGTGTAGGGTTGCTGAAACTAGACATCTTCACAGAAGCACAAAGCCTCCTCTCTCTGCAGAGGAAGGGCTGATGGGTTTGAACCACTGACCTTGTGGTTAGCAGTGTCCAATGCCTAAGCCACGACGCCATCTGAGCTCTCTGCTGTGGTCAGCTGCATTGATTTGGGCCATGACTCAGGGCCATCCCAGTGTAACAGGGCAGAGCTGATCCACCTTACCCTGCGTGCTAGGCTGTAACCTTTACAGAAGCAAATCACCAAGCCTCTTCTACTGCACAGCCACTGGACAGCCGGTCTCTAGTCACCAGCCGATCCAAACCACTTGTACCACCAAGGCTCCTTAAACCAAAAACCAAAACCAAACTCATTGTCACCAAGTCAACGCCAGCTAGAGCGACCCCATAGGGCAAGCGAGAGCTACCCTGTGGGTTTCCAAGACTGTACCTCTTTACAGGCGTGGAAAGCCCTGTCTTTCCCTGCCCCTTGCAGTTAACAGCTTAACCCATAACCACTATGCCACTAGGGCTCTCAGGCTCCTTAAAGAAGGTAAGTTCTTATCTCTATTTAGAAGACCACTCCTCTTTTTATGGAATTTGCTGGATACAACCACGTATTGGCCAGTGTCTACCCCTCTGTTCCCCTGTTGTACTGTGGTGGCTTGTGTGCTGCTATGAGACTGGAAGTGATGACGCCTGTGTCTCGAATTCAGGAGGTGGCCCATGAGGGGCAGGTTCCAACAGAGCTTCCAGACTAAGACAGACTAGGAAGGAAGGGCTGGTGATCTACTTTTGAAAATTAACTGATGATGACCTTCTGTGACCTTCTGTGGCACAACAGAACACTTTCCAATAGAGGGCCGAAAGGTAAGCCCCCATAACGAAGCTTCAAAAGGTTCTAGGACAAAGGCAACGAAAAGCACCATGGGCTCAAGAACATCAATGATGGTGAAGATGGTGCTGGGCCAGGCAAGGTTTCATTCTGTAATATGGAAGGCCACCGCAAGTCAGTGTGGACTTGACAGTAACTAACAACAATGTGATAGCAACAACAACTGGGGACCCCAAGTGAGACGCCATGAACTGGTTTCCACCCTGCCTAGGGTAGTAGCAGGACAGAGAGGGTTGGAGGAGACAAAATCGTGGGGCTCAGAGCCAAGAGCAGGCTCAGGGTGTCAGCCCTTGTCAGGGATTAAGAGGATCGAGTTGTAGGGAGGCGGAGAGAAGCTCTTTCAGGTGAGGCAGCGGGATCAGGACACTCAGGCATAAACCCTAGCACCTGCTCACCCACAGGATCATGACTGTGGGGACAGTGATGGTTCGGGACACGGGAGGCTGTCTGACAAGTCAGCTGAAGGGAGCCGACTCACACAGGTCATATCTGCCTGCAAAACCTTCCACTTTAATTAATACCACGAAGCAGCCTCAGACTCCAGGGCTGGGTAGTAAAAAAGTGAGGACCACACCAGGGAGCCCGCCAGCTCCACGCAAACCTGTCAGAGGAGGCCAGGGCTGCTTGTTGCCTTGACCCGACATACGTGATTGCCACTTTGAAGAAAGAGCTTGGAAAAAACATGGGCGTTTCTGAGTGTGCAGTACATAGTTGGGGCTCCTGCAGGCAGAGGGCAGAGAAAATGCAAATAAACCAACCAGCTCTACAGTCCCTCAACCACCAAGCAAACCCTGCCTTCTCCCACTGTCCTTGCTAAACCTCTTCAGGGGAAAGGCTTTCATCTGGAACCTTCAAAGATCGGCCTCAGTGTTTTCAACCTCACTGAATCCAAGGCAAACACCGGAATGGGAAATTCCTCCTTTCTCCCTCAACACCCCAGGCACATGGCCCACACATCATAGCCAATAACCCACTTGCCATCAAGTTGGCTCCAACTCACAGTGGCCCTACAGGGCAAAGGAGAACGGTCTCTCAGGCTTCCTGGGGCTGTGAATCTTTCCAGAAGCAGTCTGCCATAACTTTTGTCCGTGGAGCGAGCAGCTGGTGGGTTCAAACAACTGACCTTTCAGTTATCAGTCCAACACTCAGCCCACTGCACCCAAACCCAAGCCAATCCCAGGGCCATCGATTTAATTTGGATTCATGGCAACCCGATACAAGGTCTCTAAGCCTGTATGTCTTTGTGAGAATAAACAGCTACATTTTTCAAACCCAGCCAGGAAATGAGGCAGGACTACGCTACATTCACAGACTCGAGGGTCACCCTGTTAGCAGGAGAGACCGGTCCCTGGAAAAAGACTTCAGACTCAGTAAAGTGGAGGGGCAATGAAAAAGAGGAAGACCCTCGACAAGATGGATTGACACCGTGACTGCAACAATGGGCCCAAACGTAACAGCACGGTGAGCTCCGTGCGGAACCAGGCGGTGTTTCATTCTGCTGTACACGGAGCTGCTAAGAGTCAGAACCGACTCGATGGCACCTAACAACAACAACAACAGGGTCACCATGTCATCCCTGGGTGGAGCAAACAGTTAAGTGTTCCTCTACTAACTGGCAAGTTGTTGGTTCAAACCCACCCACAGGCACCTCTGAAAAAAGGCCTAGTGATCTGCTTTGGAAAGGTCGACGCCGTGAAAACCTTGTGGTGCACAGTTTTACACACACACACACACACAAACACACACACCATGGTCACCAGGTTTGGAATCAGCTGATGACAACTGGTTATTTTTTGGGTTAGGGTCACCACCTCTGGGCCCGAGATGCCGTCAGGGATTCCCCGGGTAGATGTGGCCGGATCCTACAGAACTGACACTCGCTCTCGCACACAACCAGCTGGCAGTGGACTCAGGGGTCGAACCCAGGACGATGGCACCAAGTGGCTCAAGGGTCAGTGACAGCAGCTACGTGAAAACAATCCTTTTGTTCACGTGTGTGAGGACATGTGGCTGCTGGGCCCCCACAAGAGATGAGCAGGCTCCCCTGGGAGGAAATGTCCACCTCGGGACATCCGGAACACAAATTCTAGGCACCAGGACGGAAGTCACTCTGTTGACCTTGAAGCCTCTAGTCATACCAAGGAACAGTTATTTGTTCAAAAGTTCAGAACAAGGGCTTTGGAGCTGTTAACTTTATGCTAAGGTTTTGTTTGTTTGTTTACTCAAAGCTTGGCTGTTCGGTTTTGGTTCGAAACCACAGCCAATCCAACCTCTCTACAGAGATGCTGGCACGTTTGTGTTGGGGTCACGGGACAAAGGTCAGGCAGAGGACCCGATTGGGAAGATTCTGAAGGCTGGTGAATTTCCAGAGGCTCCTCATTTCCAAAGCCAAGTGGCCACAGGTTTGTAGCCAAGCAGGTGCTGAAAACACGGAAGACCAGCCAGCCAAGCCTGGAAGGTGCTTCCCGGAGCTCACCATTTATTTCTTAATCCTTCCTATGAAGCACCTAGAAATAGTAGACGCCAGGAACTTATGAATGCAAGTGTCTTAAAAGTTTAAAAGAAAAAAAAAGCTGCCAAGTAATTAAGGATGAAAGACACATGACCGAGGAATGTGTCAGAGAGAGGAGAGAAGGACTAAGCCTCAGGCAGGGCCTATGAGATCAAACTCAAGGGGACTCAAAGCCCAGCTCTGCCACCCACAGGCTGTGTGACCTTGGGCAGGTGACTTAACCTCAGGAGACCTCAGTTTCCTCACCTGTAAAAGGATGCCAACCACTGTCACAGGAGTTGTGGAGATTCAACGAGATGATCTGAATACCTAAAGCCCCCACTATAACATCTAGCACGTGGCTTCAGCACACCTTCACTATTTCTACTGCCCAAAGAATGCAAGCCTTTTGGACAGAAATGCCTGGCGATGTTCAGTTCCACGGAGGAAGAAGCAGATTTGGGTCATAGTTATTCATACATCAGCTGCAGCATCAGTTAGAGTCTGGGTGCGGGAATCCACGTGGAGCTCTGGAAGGTCAGGAATGAGCTAGGGCAGGGCGGGAGTCGGCTCCTCCGCCATGTCCCTGTACCCTGGTCTGTCTCCCAGGTGTAAGCAGCTGGGGGCCTGAGCATTTGGACAGTTGGTGAATAAACTCGAATCACAATGAATCTCCTGCCTTCCAGGTCTTTCCCCCTAACTTTCGGAGGTGCTCTGTCACGGGCATGGAAGAGCTCTGCCCCTCAGCCGGCACTCAGACCCCCCGCACGCTTCCGACCCCAAGGCGCCCCCGCTCCCAACGAAACTCACCCCCTTCCTCTCGGCCTCCTGGTTCAGAGCCGTCACCCAGGCTGCTAGCCACTGGCTCCGCCAGCAGTTCAGGGACAGGATCCAAGACAGCAGGGCGTCCGTCTCCGGGCGCTGCCCCTCGCCATGCCCCTCGCCAGGCTCCTCGGTCCGCCGAAGGGGCCGGGGTCGCACCCTGGCCAGCACCCATTGCGTCAGGTACAGGCCCACCGTGCCTAGGGCCGCGAGGAAGAGCGACACCAGCGCGAGCCACTGGACCTCACTGAGCCACGAGCTCAGCCGGGACATGGTGCTGGCTCATACCCGGCCGGGGAGCTGGGCAGCCCGGATCCAGGGCACTGCGCCCACGGGCGGCAGCTCAGGGCATGAGGCCGCGGCAAGCCGACGGGTGTGCGCGGAGGGCGGGCCGGGGGCGCGGCGGCAAAGGCGGGCGGGAGTGGAAAAACTGGGTCCAGGGCCGTGGGATCCGAGAGCGAAGGCCGGGAGGAAGTGCCCAGCCTACGCACAATGGCCCCGGCTCGGGATCGCGCCCCCTCCTCTCACACCTGGAGAATGGGCACGCAGAGCAGCCCCGGGCCGGCGCTGACTACCTGGGCGTCTGGGAAGTTCCTGGGCGGCGGTCAGGGATCGCTTCCTCCTCCGCGCGCCGCCCGGGGCGTCCCGCCCGC